ATAAGACCGAGATAATATATTCATTGATATCACATAGGTAATTTGCATACCGTCCCATTTTTAATTCTAAGATAAAAATTCAGAATTAATGCAGATTTACAGTGTTCTCATGTCCAGACAACACTGATTTTCATCCCTAAAGCAAAGTAAGATTTAAGGGACGAAAATAAGTGTTGCTAGCCTTATATTCAAACATTTAAATATAGCAACATACTGCTGTTCTACAGTGTACAATGTTCTGAGGCTCCAACTGACACAGTGTTTGCTATGATGATTAATCCACTCCATAAATCAACTCAATTTCTCCACTAAAATTTCTGAAAAATGAGATTTGAAAGCGTAAACCGATAAGCACATCTAATCTCACTGCTGCTGTGCTTTCATCTCACTAGACAGGACGTCCAGGCTGTACAGCTTGTTTTCAGTGTGCAGGTGTTAAACTAGCAAAGTCGTAATAAGCTTCTTTAGCGGTTTTCGAACCAAACTATCAACATCTGCCAGCGAGTGTGCTAAGCCTGTGTGGACAAGGGCTTGGGGGGAGGAGGGTCAGCCATCATCAAGACAGCCAACCAGAGACTGAAAGCTCCTGCCAAGGACAGAGGATTAGCTTTAATGGAACTGTCTTGAAAAGAGGACTCCTCTTGCTGTTACCTCAACTGACTAAGGCACTGTGGATTATGCTCTGGGTAAAAGAATTCCCTCCATTCTGCTGATTTAGGGCCAGCTTTCCTTACCCAAACCCTAACATAAACCACTGTAAGACAAATAGCATTACTGATTTGAACCCTTCATTTGTGTGAATAGGCAACTTCAACCAAAACTTTATGAAGGATGGTTTTCTCACTGCCCTTGTCTTTGTGCATAAATCCAACACTACACAATGACTGCTGAAAGACGGACTCCACATTCCAAAAGTTGGGGGGGGTTTAACAAATCCCTCCAAAAACTAAGTAAAGCAGTGTTCTCCTTATGGTAAGGTCAGACCGCGCCGATGGAACAAGAAAGATTTCGCACTGTAAATGCTCACAGCCTGAGAATGACTAATCTATCCATCTTACAGACACATGCACTTAAAATCAAATCTCTTTTCCAGGATAGAAAGTGTTCCGACAGGTCTAACCAGTCTGCCCCGATGTAAACCATCACATAAACAAATGATACAGCCTCTCCACTGCAGTACCATCCACCCAAGGCCTGGAATGTCAGCAATTATGTAATATTCCACAACACTTCTCCATACGGTTATGCATGAAATAGTGGATACGAGACCTATTGTACGCAAGAGCTCCCTTGCCGTTCATTTGTGACTCATTTGTGATTGTTTAGCGGCATGATGTCCGTTTCCTGTCCGCAGATGATTGTGATTGAGTTTCCATCGTCCCTTTGTTCTGCGCGATTTGACGGAGCTCAGCCGCATTTCCCCTCACAGCTCCAGGCGACCCCTGGGATCACACAGCCGACGCTCTGACTCCTGCAATTTTACATACTCATTGAGCTGGACATCAGGCCTGTCTGTACACCCTGCTCTCCCTTGTTAGTGTGAACCACCACTCCCTTACGCACACAGTTCCAGATCCACACCCAAAGCTCACTGCTGACCTAAACTAAGCGCAAGCTAATTACCGCTTGTTCTTTTCTAAAGGACATGCAGGTTTACAGAACTTACTTTGGACAAATACTTTGCGCTTACTGTGGTTGCAACCAGTACAATAAAAGCAAGAACAATGAGTACAAATAATAAAGGCCATGAGTCACCTGGCCACTGTGTAATGTCCAGTTTCTCAGAGTTAGGCAGAGCATATGTCAATATCCAAAAGAGAAGCTGGATAAGAACACTCGTAGTTAACTAATAACACAGCCAATGGGAACATAGCTCTCAGAATAAGTGACTTAGTTATCTTTATTAAAAATAAAAAAAATAATAATATATTTATGACATATACTATTAGTAGAATGACCAATAAACCTGTTGATGTAGGAAACTCTGATACTGAGTTACGCAGCGAACTATTTTACCCAATTTTACCCTTACAATTGTGTTTTAATATTGATTTTAACCTTTTTTGACAAAACTCAAATCTTGTGACTATGCTAAGGCTAAAAAAAATACAAAGCATGGTATCACATTAAGATTAACATCCATGATAATTGGTCAAAGTGGGTTTCATAGCACCACTATATCACCTACACTATATCACTTACAATATTGGAAAAAAAGAACACCCCTAGCGCCCCTGGCATGAAAGTAACAAAAAAAACTGTGGATACTGAATCACAGTGCAACTAGAGGCTAGTTTCAGGGCCTGTAACCAAGACTGTGGTTTTGGGTCCTCAGTGATGACATACAGCCAGGGACTAAAGAGCACTTTATCTTCCTGAGTGTGTGGTGATTTAACAAATGCATATCAGAGCATGGGCTATTTCATAAATTGGCGGATTCAATTCAAAATGTCCAGAAAAATCAGGCAGTCTAAGCACAAGAGGGATTTTATGTACAGTCCACACCAAACAAACACCAGCCCACCAAACATCAGAGTGATTCAAGTTTTATTACTTAATGATGGGTGATATAGCCAAAAAATGTCCTAGATATTTCCATGGTGCGTGACACGTAGCTCAGCATGTTTCACTGACCAGCCATAAAATTATAACCACCTCCTTGTTTCTACACTCACTGTCCATTTTCTCAGCTCCAAGTACCAAAAACGTGCACTTTGTAGTTCTACAATTACAGACTGTAGTCCATCTGTTTCTCTCCATACTTTGTTAGCCTTCTTTCACCCTGTTCTTCAGTGGTCAGGACTCCCACAGGACCACCACAGACCAGGTATTCTTTGGGTGGTGGATCATTCTCAGCACTGCAGTGACACTGACGTGGTGGTGGTGTGTTAGTGTGTGTTGTGCTGGTACGAGTGGATCAGACACAGCAGTTCTGCTGGAGTTTTTAAACTACTCAGTGTCACTGCTGGGCTGAGAATAGTCTGCCAACCAAAAACATCCAGCCAGCAATGTCCTGTGACCACTGATGAAGGACTAGAGGATGACTAACATAAACTGTGCAGCAACAGATGAGCTGTCGTCTCTAAATGTACATCTACAAGATGGACCAACAAGGTAGGCGTGTCTAATAGAGTGGACAGTGAGTGGACACAGCGTTTAAAAACTCCAGGAGCACTGCTGTGTCTGATCAACTCGTACGAGAACAACACATGCTAATACACCACCACCACGTCAGAGTCACTGCAGTGCTGAGAATGATCCACCATCCAAATATCTGCTCTGTGGGAGTCCTGACCACTGAAGAACAGGGTAAAAGGGGGCTAACAAAGTATGCAGAGAAACGGATGGACTACAGTCTGTAATTGTAGAACTACTAAGTGCACCTATATGGTAAGTGGAGCTGATAAAATGGGACAGTGAGTGTAGAAACCAGGAGGTTTTAATGGCTGGTCCGTGTATATTGATAGGTAGCAAGTTACTGAATCGTCACACCAGGGAATGGGCGATCTAATTCCACGTCATACGATGCAAATCATATCACTCAGATGAGTGTCTCTCTGGTGTGGTCACGACTTCACTGAAACTGCCAACGCACAGTCCAGAAATATGAAACTGATCCCCGGTTTAGTCATATGTACTGAACTCAAAGCGCTGCAACCCAGTGCGATACAGACAATGGATCTACAGCCGAACTTTTGGGTCCCTCCTACTTTCAACCAGTGAACCAAACGTACAACGTGGCCCACTAAAAACCTAGTAAATGGTTTTCATTTTAATTTTAGTTTTACTGTGTCTTAAATGCTACAGAGAAAACATTAAGCGGTGTATCCAGTTCTCTCCTTTATTTTGGAGTCATGGCTCCGGCAGCCCGCTGGTGAAACACTGGGCAACACCCAGGCTAAAAACAGGGAATCTTCGAGGGGCTTCATTGTCCTTGCTCTGAGGAAAAGATGTCACAAAACGACGGTCTCGTTGAACACCTCATCACGACTAGCTGTTTTTCGTCATTGGAATAAGAAACATGCCCAAAAATACAAGCCGCAGGATTAAATTATGATTTAGGACTATGATCGGGCTACTCAACTCCTTAGCTCCATAGGCTAGTCAGCACTAACGTACCGAAAAGGTTTGAGTGAATGGAAGCATAACGTGAACGTGAGGTAACTGCTAACGCTAACGTTAGTCTGCAGCCCAGAAAAGAAACACTTACATTTATGTCTGTTAAAAATCTAGCTAATCTCGGAAAAGTCACGTAGATAATACACCTTAGTAAAGAACTGTTGACCTCGTATCCGCATTGTTTAGGCACCTGACAACCAGCAACCATGACTACAAGAGACAGTACGTTAACCTATCGCTCATTTACCTTGTATAAAAATAGATGTAAAAACGTTCAAGTCGAGAAACTACGACAATAATGCAAGAAAAACGCTGTTTTAAACTGGTCCCAAGAAGTGGGTCTCCTCCCCACCTCCGTCTGAGAATTAGGATGTGAAAAACCTGGGACAGACTGCGAGTCATTTCTGGAATATAACCCTCTGAACTATGGCAGAACCATACATCGTTTGTTTGACAGAAATACACGCTAATTAATTAATGAGGCTGAGTTGGCCTCCCAGCTTCTTGTTCGAATTTCCCCGTTCCACCTTAAACGGTGTAGCAGTTACATTCTCAGGCAGACAGGCGCCAGAATGAAACTGCTGCACCATTTAAGGTGGAATGGGAGAATTCGAACAAGAAGCTGGCGAATAAGAAGCTTCGTAATTAAGAGGAAAATGTCAAACGCACTGTCCTTTGTTCATCTGTCTAAGCGTCGTTTCTGAGGTAAAGTTAGCCAGCTAGCTCCGTCTGCACACATACGGTCGTTATGAGAGCCAACACGGGAGATTTGTATGAACCCTGACCAAGGTAAGCCTACCAGCAGCACCTTTTCCAGTCACACCAAACGCGCTGAGACCTTATGTGCCGACAAAAGACGAGAAGAATTAATCGTTTCTTACCCACAGGTCCGTTCCCCAACTCATTTTTCTCTGCGCTGAAGAAAAAGCTCCAAAACTGAGGTCTCCCGGCACTGAACTCAAAGGCTGAGTGTCTCGCCGTCTGTCGTCGTCTAAGTTAAACCAATGTGAAGCAGCAGCCACTCTACGGCTTCTCCATTTCCCGCAAGCAGGCAACAGCGCGGACTCTTGACTCGGCAACGACACAAAAAAAAACCTCGAAAAATGAGGGTGGATGGTCAGAAGTTAGTCCAATGCTACCACCATGTGTCCGCATTTTGAAAGTTCACGGACAAATCCCAGTTTTCGTGGCAATGCCACAAAAATGCTTTATTAGTATCCTCGCAGGGATGGACGATATCACTGACCCGCTTTTTGATCCGGTACCAAATAATACCGCGGCTCATATTCCGATACCAATAACAAACATTTCCCCAATTTTTGGTATTAACATAACTTTATGAAAAAAGAAATTGTCCAATTAATGCATATGGAGAACACCTGGTATCAGTGATGTAGAATCTTGGTGTGCAGGGTATAGACTTGCATACGATATATATATATATATATATATATATATATATATATATATATATATATATGTGTGTGTGTGTGTATAAACATGTATGTACATATATCGCTGTTGTCAGAAAAAAACTTCACATCTTCAAAATTGTAACTTTGCAGGTGAAGGAAAAAACTTACTTTTACTGTAAGTCAGTGGAACCAGACCACACACACACACACACAATGGAAAGGGCAACAGGTATTTTCAAATTATGTTGAAAACTGAAAGACACCAAAAATGGAGATATGAAGTTTTCTTCTGACAACAGTGATGGGTTGCTATCACAATGTAAAGGATCCTAATGGTTTCTTATGGTCCTTTTACAGCAGGGTCTTCAATGCAATTCAAAGCCAAACCTCATTTTCTTAGCCCTGTTTAGCAGCCTGGCAACATTTCTGGTGAATATCTTTTTTAAATTAATACCCTAACTGTTAACTGTTCCATTCGGTCAGGGAACAAAAATGAATAAATGAAAAAAAGAATGTCAGCTTTGGATATATCTGAGGTAAACACCACTATCCACATATTAACCAGAAACATTTCATTACCGGGTTTGGTTAGTCATAGTTACAGTGGGGGTTGCAAGGCTTAGGTTATTTTCTGTTGTATGGCACTTTGTCACTGTTGTTTTAACATGTATTACATAGGCTAAATAAAATTGAAACATAAAACTGAAATTTCTGCTCATAGATAATACAGACACCCATTCGCACACGTTGTTCATGATTGTTTGTGTGTCGGATTAAAGAGAAGCCAGTCCAAAGGCTTTGAATACAGGCCTAGGGAGGAGTTGTTACGCAGCTGCCTGGTACTGATGTTTTCGTGCAAGGACTGATTCTCAAAAGGAATCATCGGGATTGAAAATATCAATATCAATATCAATGACATGACCGTATTGATCTACCCATTGCAAGCTGCAGTTAATCATGTTTTAAAGGTAACAAGGTGTTTGTTGTTCTGACATTTTCAGTTTCGTTTGCTTTGTTCTGCTGTTGAATGTTCAAAAGATAGAGTAGAGGAGAGTAACTACTAAAACTTTTTCTAATGCTATTAAGTACATCAACAATAAACTGTTACTGAGGATATTACCAACACTAACAGCTTTAATGTTTACTGTCAATTACTCTAGAAACAGTTTCAGCATACTATAAGCAATCCACTTATATCTATAGCAGTCAGCTATAGCCTAATTCACAAACACTGTACTCAGATGGATATTTATATAAAGGTGCATTTAAGGCAACACAGTTTTACATAAAATGTGTCACCCTCAGTGGACCTTCATCATATTTGTCTAGAAAGTGCAATCAATGGCATGTATAACATGGCAAAATAGGCAGTAGAAAAGCGCACTGCTTAGTCTGAATGGACTCTAAGACGTAGCAGAGCTGCTGCTACTATTCAAGTGAAGTGCATATCATTTGAAAAGACAGATAAGTGCAATAACTTCTTAAGATATTCCTTTCTTACTGTTGCACTTTACTACTACAACAAAACATAAGCACTGTTTCAGTAAATTATTTTGTCTAAATGTTAACATACTATACCAGTATTACTGAATCGTGTATACCAGTATTATTAATATTGTGTAGGTGCAATAACGCATGAATTAAATGTACAATGTACTATATGGAAAACATGATTTGGGTAGTTTCAAATAAACACATACATACAGCACCACGGTAAGTTTCAACCCATTTTAATTATTTACATCAAGTGTAACACTGAGGGAGCACTTCACAGTAATATACTATTAAAAGTGAGCTTTAAATTAGAATCACACAAAATATACTTTTTACATAACAGAAAAATACTGTTAATTTGTCAACCTCTGCCATTTTTAAATCCCTGTTAAATTCACATATTCAAAATTAAGAGTGTTCCGTTTGTCATTGCACTTGAAGGACTGCAGAGGTGGCCTTTGGTATATAAAATCTACATAAGACTACAAACTAAAAACCTCACAATACAAAAGATTATGTTCAAGAACGTGTGATTTCCAGGATTCAATATAAAAAAAAATAAATAAAAACAAAAATAAATTAAAAAAAGACAGTGTCAAAAATAAAAAGAGTGAAATTCGGCACTGAACTTGAAAAAGTGTTGAGTGAAGTGTTAGATTATATGTACTGACAAAGCATATGTCTAATACATACTGTAAGATGGCTTTGAACGTAGAGAGGCAAAACAATAGGAGAGGGAAATTCTGTTTGACCATTTCTCCACTGATATTTAGAAAAGAAAAAAAACACGAATAATGTAAATGATAAGTTTGTCTAGCTGGCAACTCATACAATACACTTATAATGAAGATACCAAACTAGAAAAAAGGCCAAATAACAACACAAAGGCAAACTCAATTATATGGTCATCTTATGGCATTAATTACTACTGTGTTGACTGTGAAAATGAAATCAATCAGCAGTTAAAAAGGGGCAATTAAACATAAGCACTTTGCCATTTCAATGGCTCAACTGCAAAATGCTCCCTGAAAATCATGCAAAAATGGGGTAAACCTATTTGTTGCCCACCTTAGCTATACCATTGTAAAACATAGTACTTTGAACTGACTAGTTACAATAGACCTCTTGCTGTTTGAATAATCTGGACCTCTGTTTATAGTTTAGATATTTCAGTTCTTTTTTTTGGAAGAGAAGCAATATTTTTGCTTGTCATAGAAATCCATCAGAAATGAGGTAATTCCAACAAAAGCTAACCAATGAAATCGACCCCATCAGCAAAATAACAACAGACTTAAAAGCTCAGTCTTTCTCTCATATACAGTACAAAACATTGCACATCTTTCTCAGGTTGGATGCCTTATGACCCCTGATGACTTAAATGTTACTTTAGATTTGAAAGTAATAACCACTCCTCATTGCCATCTACATAATATATTCGAACATTTCTGTATTATAACCATGAAATCTCTTACAAAAGGCACCATGAAATCTGGGAAAAAAAAAGAGAGTATGGCAGGGAAAATGGTCAAACCAAGCTTGAATTGGAATTTTTTCAACTGATAAAATCCCAAACTGCTCCCTAAAATGTATGTTATGCACATGTTGTTCTGTTACAGAGGGACTGAAATTCAGAGATGAATGATAAGACACAGTAACACATTTCCATATTACATCTCATAGATGGTTTAAGGCAAGGCCATCAACATCTATGCTCTAAAATGACATCCAGTGTAAAAAGTACAAAATCATGTTAACGATATTGCGAGGCTTCGGATAAACTTTCTTTCTTATATGTTCAAGACACAGACAACGAGAACAAGAGAGAGAAAAAAGAAATTGCACCCTGTTTTGTAGACCATTTATAATCTTCCTTTAAATTATATGGATTATATATCTTTTAAAAAGGGTGAAACTAATTCAGTTGCTTACTTAAAACGATAGCGTTTCAGTATTTCGGGGACAGACCAAGGCATACAAAATAACACAACATTCTTGTCTTTGTCAGATGGATACATTCATGTTGTAAATGCTCAGATGGGGACCTTTGTTCTTAATCGCAACACTTCCTGTCAGAAACAATATCCTTCTGCTCACCCAACCACTGGAGGACTTCACAATATCTAAACAAACATGACCTTGAATGCTTTTTGTGGAGAAGGAAATAAATGCACAATTATATCTACAACAACATAAATCCTGTGCTTTTAATAAAAAATAATTTAAAATTCAAGTTTACACAAGTTTAAACATTCTGAAGTTAAAAAAAAAAAAAACAGAACTGTAGAAATCAATGTGCTATAGAAATGGCAGTTTGCGGTGTCATTTAAATCTAGCAATATTGCAGTTTTTGTGTTCTTCTGCAGTGAGTGTCCAGTCACAGTGGGAATACAGTGTCCAAACGTGTGCCTGTGTTCCATCTGGACAAACACAAATCTGTTTATAAAAATAAGCTCAGGCTTCACTGACCTAACATTCTTCAACAAACACTGGCAAACCCAATTGTTGAGTTGAGGTGCCAAAGGTTGAAGCTAATAATCAATATTCCCATACATACAGGAACACCAGAATACGGTAGATATTTTACATTTTGGCATAAATGTGGACAATGATTGATAATTGATCTGAAATGACCCTTCACAACTCACGAGTCATTCTATAGCTAGACACAAGCACACCCGTTGCTCCAAAACCAATAAATGTGTAACCATATAAGCTCTATGTATCCCAGTTTTGCAAATGTAAACTGATATGCAATTAATCGTTTCCGAAATTAATGATCTACCCTTATTAGCTAATATGCCTACTTGATTCTCCCTATTCACAGTTAGTTTGGCTTATGTTCCCCCCCAACATTCTGTACTGAAATGACAACTTTACAAAGTTGTGTTTATTGAATAATGTTTGGTCAGTGTTCCAACAATAGAATGATTCTGATTCTGTGGATATCAAGTGAAATCTTTGAACTCTCCACTGAAAGACCACAATAGACAGAAAACTCTATCTCAAAGTAATCTTTAAAGGTCACTTAAATAAAAACGGGCCATGACACACTATGCCATTCTAACTCAAGGCCTTTTCAGTACTTTCAAAATTTAATGCACAAAACATATTGAACATATTCCTTTCCAACTGGGTAAATGGCACTACGCCCTCTGCACACTGGCATCACTTTTCATTAAATGCTGAAATGTTCATAAAAAGATCTATGAAATAATGAAATTAACCGCGACACTGCATGATACATGCATTCATGTTAAAGGCTCAGTACTGCTAAGTTTAATAACTGAATGGTGTACACTGAGCCCAAACAGTCCATGCCTGATCAACTTCTACCAAGTGTATCTGTTGTATGTTGAGACACAGACAATATCCAGTTATTGTATTGTGAGTAAACTGTTTAGTGCGAGTCACGACAGTCAGAAATCTTTCTAATGTCTTTGTATAAATATGTGAAATAAACCAGAGAATGGGTAATAATTAGTCTCTACTCTTTCAAAGTTGTCACAAAGTAAGTAGATAAACCTGTGTAAAAGGGACTGTGACCATACAGCAGGGGTGTCCAATCTTAACCATAAAGAACCAGCATAGCCACAGATTTTCATTTCAAACACGTTGGACCACACTTGATCCTACTCATTCAATCAGTTTGTCTCAGTCTTCAAACAACTGATTGTGTGTGCTTCTGCTTTGTTGGAATGAAAATATGCAGCCACATCAACCTTTTGGATAAGACTGGACATTGGACACCCCTGCAGTAATGCATTTTTGGATAATAAGCTTATATAGAAGTGTAAAACTCTGTTCCCAACTGGCGATTTCAAAGAGAAATTCAACTGTAAACAATGAGAGAGGGAGAGAGACCATTTGTAGTGATTTTACTGAGGTACTTAGAGAATATTCTCTGTCACCAATCTTGTAAAACAATACATTAAAACCATCAACAAAAAAAAAAAACTTGGAAGTCTTGAGGGGCAGGTTGAGGGGGGGAGATATGTGGACCCACCGGCTACCTCTGCACCACATCACTGATCTCTTTTATACAAGAGTGCAAGTTGTCCAGGGCACCCACACCCCCTCCCCCACCAGTAGAAGAAGCCCGCAATTCCTGAAGACTCAGTTCCAGCTTGCCCACGGCCTCACGGAACGCAAACTTGTTCCGCGTCTGCGGGATGCAGTCTACATAGCCCGAGCAATAGTCGAGCAACTGGTGGCCAGCATCTAGGACCTGGCTGCTGGAGGAGGGTTCAGTGCTGCTGTGGAGAGCATTGCTCAGGCACTCTGCACACTCCAACAGAGTTTCCTTGCTGATCTTCTCCAGGGGCACACGTTCCGCCTGCTGCCGAGTCCGTCTCAGCGTCAGTTTGGAGGAGGCAGGGGCTGAGCCACCAGAGGCACCGTTGGCCATCTTGGTCGGGGCAGTTGTGGTTGTGCTACCAGAGGAGCCAGAGAGCACTGGAGGCACTTGCGGTGGTGGAATGCACGGTCGTGCTCCTCCTGCCCCTCTCCCTGACCTTTTGACGCCATCTCCATTCACCTCCGGACCACTAGAGACTTCTTCAGCTCCATCTGCACTGTAGGCGTGCTGGAGGGAACGTAGAAGTGTGGGCGGAGGAGGGGGGGCGCACTTGGGCTTGATAAGTCGTGGCCGATCACTGCTGGCATCAGCCAGCAGCTTGAAGCGGTTGCCCTGAGAGTCCACCCCAACCAAGTGCACATCAGCTGGGCTGTGCTTTAAGGTCGGCGAGATCAGAACTGGGACTTTGTGGTTGTGTGGACCCATTGTGGATCCTGTTGTGGAAGTTTTCGATGGAGAAGGCCAGCCTAGTCTGTCGTCCTGCCCATCTCTACCCCGACAGGCATCTGACTCTGCTTCGCCCCCTACCCCTGGCGCCCTAACTCCTCCCGACGCACCACGAGGCAGGAGCTTGGCTTTAGGCCTTTCCCGGATCTGTGCCGTACCCTCGTCCAGCTTCTTCTGCAGAATGTCCGGAGGTCGGGCGGCGCCATTCTCCGGCTGTGAAGCAGTGGAGGCTGTGCGCTCCAATGTTGGTTTGCTACGATTCCTGGGTAACGTTAAAGCCATACGCTCCAAATCTGGCAGGCCAGCAGACATAGATGAAGTAGAGTTAGACCGAGGGAAAGGCTTGGCTTGTCCCCCAGAATCATCAGTTCCAGAGGGTTTCCCAGTTCGTAAACCCAGGGTCTTTTTAATAAGGCGGGGGGTAAAGAAGCCTGCTAGGCCTGCCCAGCTACTGCTGCTGCCCACCTGTGAAGAGGTGCCTCCAGAGGAGTTTGACCCCGAGGGTTTCTGTCCAAATGTGGCACCGCAGCAGCGTGACTGGACATGGTTGACTTCTCCGTGAGACGGAGAGAAGCCCAAACCATCCGTCTGGGGTAGTGAAGGAGGAGCGCCGAAACCGGCTGCAGGATCATACTTTTTGTGTGGCTGCGTTTCCATGTCACGGAAGGAGTTGCTCCTCTCTGGGGGCATGGGAGGATTGTGCTGAGGCTGAAACGAGGAAGAGGACGAGGATGACGACATGGACTTCTTCTTCATGAAGGAGCTGAAGAATCCGGCTTTGCGGTCGCGAGTAAAGCTGGCATCCAGTGGGTCATCGAGCAGGCTGGAAGGAGATTTGTCTCGCTGTTTGCGGGGCAGAGCGGGAGAGCTGCCAGAACGACTATCACCCGCCAGCAGGGATGCAGCAAGGCCTAAACACAAGACAACATGGCGAAGGTCAAAGATGATCAACAAGAAGGGGACCATAAACTTTCCTAATTTACAGGAGAGTAATCTTATTGCGAGTGACGTTACACAGACCTGCAACATTACTAGCTAGAATACTGAGCTGGTTAATATTCAATAAAACTGAAGTTCGTTTGGGTTGTTTATATCATAGATGGTGTAATCTACAGGGGTCTCAATCCAGATTTGGGGAATTCTAGCCAGTGTACATTTTTTTGCTGCCTACAGTTCTTCAGGCTGATCTCTATAAAATGTGCAGTGGCTGTGTACCTCACTTCATAAGCACCAAATTATTTTACTTCAAGAGATGACAGCCTATTTTTCCCTTTTCATATTATGACTACTAAACAGTGAAGGTTAATAATAAACTGATCAGGTGGTTGGGGCAGTGAGAGATATGGTGGAATAACAGGAAGTCATGCTGAGACTATGCATTTATACAAAAACATGAAAGGTTACAAACAACCATGAAGCACATTGTTGCTGTCATAACAAAACCTTATACCTCTCCTATAAAAAACTTTATAGAAGGAAAAATGTCCTGCATTTTAATGCCCATTTATCCAAGTGTTTTTGGACAATTTGTATTGGTAATTTGTGATAGTTCACTCAATGTATAGGGCAGCAGGCATTTATACATGATTAAGAAAAAAATAAATGGAGTCACAAGGTATTTGATGACCACAACAATACTGAGGATGAGACAATGGACATGAGGGTCCTTTAATTCACACTGATAGGCGATTTCTTTATGAGGTAAAAAGGGAAGAACATGAGGCTGCTTAGGAAAAGGTGAGTAAGATAATGACTAAAGATGTAAAATGTTTCTCTTTTATTTGAAATGAAACGCAAGGCCATGCAATGAGTGAACTTTGTGTGTATATGTGAAAAATGTTTTGGTGAAGTATAAACACATGCCTCCCATAAATAAAAAAATACATATAAATAAATAAAATAAAGTTGAAACAAAATTAGATATTACATCAACAATGCTACATGTCAGAGAGGTTAAAGTGATTTTAATCAAACACAGGTAAACATGCTGGTGTATAGGTGGGTGGAGGTGATAGGTGCTTGTGCAGACTTGTTTAGTAATGCACAATGAAAGAGGACAATAGAGTAAAGAGACAACTACACAAAGTGACAAAAAGGAACAAACATAAAAATTGTTATTTGCAAATCAGTTTGTACAGTGAACCAAGCTGTTGAATTTCTGTTGCAATTTGTGATTCAAGCTCATTTTTATACTTTAATTTTATACATAAACTCTGAAGAACAGTTTCCTAGACATGGGTTAAGCTTTGTCATGGACTAAATAGTGATAGGCACTGGTTATTCATAATCTGGTTAAGCATAATCTGGATCTGGGAAACTGGCCCTAAAAATACTGTCACTGTTCTACACAATGAAACATCTGTAGCACAAAGCTATGTTACATGCTAATGTACTTTACATGTATAATGCAAACATAATACAAAATAATTACATGCATACTTCTGTATGTAGATAAATTCCCCATAATACTGTACCCTAAAATACTGCTGATATACATAATCCCACACGTGTACCAATGCCTGTGTATATACATTTGTACTCCTTTAGTCTAAGAGGAACACCACTCCCATTCTCTTGAGTCTGCGCTGGACTCGGGTGTAGCAGAGCCAAGCCGATGTACCTGCAGGGCCGTGGGCTCCAGGCTCCTGCTGGCCGTCCAGCCCCTCCATGTTCTCCTTATTGTCCGAGTGCTTCTTCTGTGGACGTGACTTACAGGGCAGGAGGGGCTGGTCATGGCCGAACGCATGCACTGCCCCACCCTTACCAGAAGAGGCAGTCTTACACAGCTCCTCTGCCACTTCTGCAAAGCAAGAGTTCATGGAGAGAAGATTGACGTTTTGAGTCAACTGCTAAAACACCTGGGATAAAGAAAAACAGTTTGAGTCACTAACTGAGTCTGGGCTGACTTCATTCTGCCCTCATTTTCGTTCTTAATTTTGGTTATGTTTATTACTGACTAACCATTTTGCCAGTATTGGACATTTTTAAAGGTGAACACATTTTTAATGCAACCAAATAATCTGTTCCACAATACTGCATCAGCTGTGGAAAAAAAGGAAGTACCAAAATGCAAATTAACCCAAGACCTAGACCAGGGCTGCCCAAAGCATGGCTCACCAGAGATTTACCCTAACCCCACCAACTCACCTAATGAGAGAACAAACATTTTTATACTATATGTAACTGATGAAATTCTTATTTTCCTTTTAAAAAATGAAGTATTAACAAAATATAATACAATGTTATTAACCAAAATTTCAAAAGCTCAATTTAAGAGATATTTACCTTTTTATTTGTGTATATTTGTGTGTGTATATAGATGTTTTTTTTTTTTGTGTGGTCCTCGGCCCACCAAAAATAGCCATGACACAAACACACCTGACTGAAGCCATCAGCAATTAATATGCCTTGCTGAATTCAATTAGATTTGGTCTAGCAGGGAAAACGTCAAGCTGTCAAGTGGTATGGCCATCCAGGACTAGGGTCTTTCCCTTTATATGAAGTTAATACTTACTACAGCTAAAAAAGTTAAGGCTAAGAGCTGAAGTGCATATACCTTCTGATATGCTGGAGTCATGGAACATGGTCTCAAAGGCCTGGTGGATTTCTGCAAAAGATGGCCTGTCCAGTGGGCTCCACTGCCAACCTGAGAATGTACAATAATACACACATCAAAACCAACAAACTGGTGACGAGAGTACGTAATTTTAAGTGAAAGGCCACATTAAATCCCTCTCTTCTAGCGATCTAGTTATAGTTTTAGGGATATCCTGTCTGGCAATGTAGGGAATGTTATGTGTGTAGAGCTTAAGCACTTTTAGCATTTAGCTATGCAACCAATAGAGTCACATAACATGATTACTCTAACTAAACACAACATATTTTGCAGTGCACTTACATGCTCTCATAAGCTCGTAGACTTTAGGGGGACACCCTTCTGGTTGCTCCATACGGTAGCCCTTCTCCAGCAGGTCATATACCTGAGACAGGTCAATACCAGGGTAGGGAGACATACCGTAGGTCGCAATCTCCCATAGCAGCACTCCAAATGCTGCAGAACACAAACAGACACACTATCAGACATGCCAGAAACAACACAAAACCCTAATAGGCCTGTAATTCTTTGTGAGTATTTTGTCATTTGCCAAATCATCTCCCTCCACTGGTGATGCTTTAGTCCCTTCTGCGCAAAATCTCCATTTCCCATAACTTAGCATCAAAAACAACAACGAGTTCAAAAACAAACTCATTCCCACTTCCCAGAAAGTTCATTCTGAAACTGGAAGTGACTGACCCCAGACATCTGATTTGATGGAGAAGGTATTGTAAGCCAGGCTCTCTGGTGCAGTCCACTTGATTGGGAACTTGGCTCCAGCATGGGCTTTGTATATGTCTCCCGTCATCAAGCGACTCAGGCCAAAATCAGCCACCTTAACCACATGATTCTCCCCTACCAGACAGTTCCGTGCTGCCAGATCCCTGAGAGACCATAAGAGCAGAGAATAGGATAAAGAATTACTTATGTCTTCATGAACACTAGGCAATTCTGCACACCCTTATGCTACATGTAGTTTAATAAAGAGATTGTAGAACAAAGTGAAAAAAGCTTTACAGTTTTGTTCAACAGCTGAGGTAAAAGTTAACCTAATACTAATTTATTTTTTTTTGGTATAAGCCTATAGAACAGTAACAAGGCTAGCCGTCAGGACTGGTTGACACCACAAGGGGTAATCAATGATTGTATGCTGTATGTGTAATATATACTGGGTATTTTTGTAAGAGAACACCAATGAGAAACAAAGTAAATTCTGTCAAAACAAGAATAATAATTATTATTAATAATAATAAGTAATAATATATTAAACTCTATATTCACGCTAAAAGTTTTCACAGAAAACCGAGCACATTACCAAGGATCTCCACTACTCTGCTCTACCTGTGGATGAAGTTCTTTTTCTCCAGGTACTCCATGGCAGAGGAAATCTGAGTGGCCATGTAGAGCAGCACTACTGCGTTCACCTCCTCTCGATCACACTCGCGCAAGTAGTCCAACAGGTTGCCGTGAAGCATGTACTCCGTCACTATGTAGAATGGAGGCTCCAGAGTACAAACACCTGCACAAGCAGACCAATGTCAACCTATTAAGTTCCTCAAGAACAGGTGATTCCAGAATGCAGCTGAGTCTCTGGTGTTAAGTAATGTATATGATTTCATTTCTGATGTTTTACAAGTACAGTGTGGTTACTGCTAAATCAAACCCCACAGAGATGGCTGTTAGAATGAATTATGAAAATTGAATGCTGGATAGGGTTTAAAAATGACTGCTGACGTTCCAAGTACTAACCTAGCAGTTGCACCAGATTGGGGTGTTTCACCTCCTTCATGACAGCAGCCTCTTTCAGAAACTCCTCCACTTCCATAGTGTCCTCCTGTCATGCAAAAGCATAGCATTATATGGATATAATCAGATTCCTCTATAATATTACCATGAAAAGCCCTTTAGTCTGGTACCAAGTGTTGAACAGAAAAATACAAACCTTGAGTGTTTTAACAGCGACAGTGAGGTTGTACTTCTTCCAGACACCCACATAGACCTCGCCATACTGGCCTCCTCCTAGCTTGTGCTTCATGGTGATGTCTGTACGTTCCATCTCCCATTTGTCGTGGATGGGGGAGACGCCATAAACTGTGGGCTTGTTGCATTTTGGAGCAGGGTAGTGGAGTGTGGTCACCAGGCCGTCCGCTACAGTGGAATGATGATGGACCAGCTCGGCTAATGTGCTAAACCTACTTTCTGATGTTACATATACCTTGGGGTGGGGGGAAATCAGGATACAAAATAGGTAAGGGAGCATCCAGAGTAATAAAATGGTGAAAAGATTGAAGTGAAAGTGAACAACCAAACAGAAGAATCAAGTGCAGAAACAGAAACAAACAACAAGAAGGCTTGTACCTTGCCGTCGGAGGCTGTGTTGATGCGGTAGTGGTAGACGCGGCCCTCGTAGCGCAGTGAAATGGACAGCTGCCCAGGGCTGCTCTCGCTCTCCCGAACCAGGAAGCTGCCGTTGATGAGGCTGCTGAGCAGGTACTCTGCAGCGCTGCGGGACACGGGCCCATGGTACCAGCTGTGTTTCTCTAGACTGTTCACCGGAGTGATGTAGTTACTGGGGACCCAGCCCTGACCGTTCTTAGAACGAACTTCACTCCACTCCCCATTCTGATTGTAGCCCAGCACCCGCAGCTTCTCTCCTGAGATAGAGATGAAGAAAGAGAGAGAGAAAGAGAATGTTCAAAGAACAGTCCTTTCAAAACTTACAGCCTTGGTTATTTATAAAAATGTGCAAACCAATGTCACAGAGCTAAAAACAGCAGCAGCAGCCATCATGAATTTTGCCTGTACTTCTAAAGATAACAGTATGTTACACTGTATCAGAAACCATACAAGCAAATCTATTTCAGATTACCAAACAACTCAATGCAGTTTGAGGCAAATGCATGATGATTGTTGGCTGGTCAGCTATATCCAGTGAGTTATTAATGAAGAGTGATGTAGCCATTCACAACAGTGAGATCAGGGAGAAGAAAGTGCAGGCTGTTTGGACCCCACTGCAGTCCAAGTCAGGAGGGTGGGGATCAGAGCGAGCGAGCGAGAGAGAGAGAGAGAGAGAGAGAGAGAGAGAGAGAGAGAGAAATCAGAAATCATTGTATTGAACTAGCTACATAAAAGACTGCAGCAGTAGAAAGCCTCTAATTGTTCTTCACTGCAGCTCACCTCACTCAACCTATCATTCTCTCTCATATCGCTTTCTATTTTTATCCTTCCATCTCTTTAACTCAAATGTCCTTTCTTCCTCTCTTTTAAGCCATCTTCAGCTCTGCCTGTCTCTATCTCTGTAGAGGCTGAAGGACCAGAAGGCACCACCAATGTCTCTTCATACAGCAATGAATCTCTGTAACTAATACTAACTTGCCCACCAGGCGGTAGTAAGACCCCCAGACCTCCAACTCCAGCAGACTGGCCCCTTTCTCTCCACACCAGCACAGAAGCTGCGGCCACCCCGGAGCCAGCCAGGCGACATCACACCACTTAGCCATTAGTCGGCAGTGGCATGGCACTGCAGAGATACAGACAGATTAAAATATAGCCACTAAGCGCTAACTCCCTTGCTCTGATCAGCCCCGTCTGTGTTTACCCACCTGCTATGAGACCAGCTGGGAGGATTACAAACTGCATGTGCATTAGCGTGACACAAGGAGCAAGGGGCGTCCATGCTAACCTCTGATTCATGCTACGAACATTAGCCTCATTTACAGAAGCCTGGTATGAGGCACTGGCGTTACTGTGTAATTAAAAAAGAGAAATTGTGCTTCTGTTTTTTTTTCTGCTGCTTTGTTTGGTTCGTTAAAGCAAAAGGTTCAGCATGTGCTTCTAGCAGTGGTAGTGCTAGCAGTATCTGGCCCAGCTTTGATCACTCTCACTGCTGCTGGGAAGAACAAGGATAGAACTTTTAACAAAGAGGAAGATGTAATGGCGTAACAGAGAGGAGGAAAAGAAGAATGTAATTAATAAATAAATATTTCCAATAATAACATCTTCAACTTTATATACTGTATATGCACTTTATAATAACTACACTATAATTTCAGCACTTAAATATAGCTGTACATAACATCAACCGAACAGACAGAATCTCAAATGACTCCCTACTCCCTACATAGTGCACTATGTAGATCTTAAAGTACTGGCTCCTGCAGCCAAACATTGCATAATATGTCTAACAAATAGTTATCTGGATTCTGAATGTGCACAATTCCATACTGGACAAACCGCGAAACTGAGTGTGGATTATACATGTATTTTTAGTGGAATTTATGATGACACCTGGACCAACAGAACATGTACTTGTGCATGGGTACTCGAGTACTCAAGCTACCGTGCCAGAACTCAAATTCTGAAATCACTATTTTTTATTCATTATGGGAATGTAAAATTCAGTAAAACAATTCAGTAAATTTTTTTTAACAGGACAGTAAAATGTGGTAAGTCACTCGTTTGCAAGCATAATTTCATATTACACTATGCTATTTGAAAACAGGAATTGCTTTACATGCGCGCGTTGCCCACAATGCATTGTTAAGGATGTGACAAAGTCAGAGACAGTGTGGCCACTGGCCAGCTCTGGCGCAGCCTTGCTGCTTACCAGGCTAACTACTGTAGCTGATGTTAGCTAGGCCCAGAAACAGAGGACAGATATTCCTCTGACAAAGTAACATGTTGCTACATCGTCCACTGAGGACCAGAGACCTCCAGTAGAAGAATGTGTCCTCATCAACATCCAATGATGTACCTGTTAGTGCTGATCTCATTAGCTCATCTGAAAAGGCAGATTCTCTTACTTATCCAACACGAAAGCCCAATGTCCTTCAGCTATTTCAGAGTAATAAAACGTTTCAGGATTTTAGCTGCCCAACACAAGGGCTGTCATCTGAGTCTGACCTCTACAATCACATCCCTAGGAAAGATGCTTGTTTTAAGACAATGAAGTAAAGTGGTAAAACCCTTGTGTAATACTGGACACCCCTTATTATCATCATGCCACTGCAAACAAGTTAGCATGGGTGTCAAAGGGAGGGGATTGTTGATTCAAGTCAACCTGAGATACTAGGCAACTTCTTTCAAATCATCATACCTTTTGTAATGCTTAATGTGTTGTCGCCACTAGCAACAAAGTCGTAAAGTGCGACAAAGAGGTTGGGGTCACTCTCCGTAGCTCCCAGCAGGTTCTCCTTAGAGCTCCAACGTACAGCCTCCGTCAGCGCAGCCGAGTCCAGCCCAAATGGCCTGTGCAGGGCTTCTGTCCCAAACAGAGAGAGAAACAGAGAGAATGAGTAAGTCAGAAAGAAAAAAAATGTGATCAAGTAGTGGAAAAAGAGGGAATGGCATGATAAGACGTCAAAGAAGGTAGTGCCTCTGGGAAGGGCAAAGAGAAGGTTGACTCAGAAAGATGCAAGAGGGAGGGAAGAGGGAAAACAAGGGATGATGAATGAATGAGTGAGCGTCAAGATATGCGAGAAGAGAAAGAAGAAGAGGGTGGAGAATGCGAGTCATAGCACGTAGAAAAGACACTCAAGAATTAAGACAACGTAATGTAAGAGTAAACAAACATTTCACATCTTATCTATTAAAGAGAATCCATATTAATCCACAAGTAAACCCCACACATGGCATCAGAAAATAGATGAAGACAACCCAATAACGCTCCTAGCTGCTTATATGTAGATCACATAGATATACAGTCCACTGTATCCAAATGAGCCCACAATCCAAAGGACAAGAACTCCATGAAACAAGTCTTCCCAAACTCAGGGATATTCCTGACCGTTCAGCTCAGACCACTGCTGAAAGATGAGTATACCTGGAAGGTTATAGCGAGCCACGTCCTGAAGTCTGGGGCCCAATGGGCCGGTCAGCCTACCCCAGTCTTCTTCAAAGCTGCTCTTAGATGGTAGGGTCCGCAGTGGCATACTCCAAGTTCTCTCCAAAGAGAACTACTGATCGTACCTATGTCTTTCCCCACAGAAACCAGCAGGGAGCTGGTGAGTAATGGATGGAGTGCCTGTCTGAGAGGGCTTTTGTTCAGGCTGGAATATATGGAGCTAAGAGGAGGGGCCAAGAACGCACGGTTAGAGAAATAATGCGGGGGAGCTTCCACTCCCCCTTCACTGCCCAAGCATGCCTACGTCTACTGGCCTTCCTTCACAGCTGTTTGCCAACCACATAAACACACAGGCATAAATGTACGCATACACATGTATATACACACAGTCAGAGAACAAGTCTAGGCAGCTGCCTCCAATAACCATCACCACAGCTTAAGTAAGGGAAAGTGTGGGTGGGGGCAGAAGGCCGAGGACGAGGGTGGGGAAGATGTGAAGCGAGACCAAACTGAAAAGAACAGGCAAAATGAGTGTTTTCTAAAGCTGGGTGAAATCCTGACATTTTGGTAAAACGCATCAACAAATGAGAAGATAGAACATTCACAGACCTGTTCGACCTGTTCATTCACTCTCATGACTTTTACATCGTTTTATATGTAGTTTTTGAATAATAAACCTTAGAATATGGACAGAATGTTAGTGGGTTAATTACTTTTAATTATATAGATAATTATTAGGCTGGTCCAGACAGCATTTTACTGGCTTCGCACATTCGCTGGTGTTTCCGAACAAATATACGAATACTCATTCTTAATACTTACCTTAAAAAATAAAGTATTTCTTTATTAATGTTTGTCAAATCAAAAATGGCTTCCTACTCACTGTATAGTACACTGCATAGGTCATTAAACTATTGCTTCTATACCTAGATAGTGCACTAAACGTTTGGTAGTGAGTCATGCAGCTTTGGTTCAATATAAATAGCTTACTATTCAACATAACACACTTTGAGTGAGCAGTTATTTCATAACCTATGTTAATATTCCAAGTTAATATTAACACTGCTAACTGCTTAGCTCAGTTCCATTGCGAATAAAATCACTTTAATAGACAAACAAAACTCGTTCAGCACTGAATACTTGGTGTTTAATACTAAATTTGTATAGATTTGCAGATTGCAGTAAAATTGGTTAGGGAGCCTGTTATCTAATGGTGTCCATCTCTCAACTCCATGTGGGCTAAACAAGAGACTGTGGACGTGCTCAGCTTCCTCACTGAACACGTTCAACAATCAAAACTACAGTCAAACAAATTGAAGTGTATTTGGTTATTTCTCTTTGTTTAAACATTGTTTGCCATTTTAATACCTTTCACTAGCTTATCTTGCTTCAGTCTCTTAAAGAAAAGGGGCGATTCACAAAATTGTAAGGGAAAGTGAGGCTACGTTCAGCCTTTAGCTAACGTTATCAGGGTACTGATTTTCTTTTATAGCCCAATATCACGTTCGTTGTTATGTACCTGCCAATCTTCTCCTGAGTTCTTCATCAATTCTTTTGTTTAAAATCACTGAAACTATGAAAACCCAACTATGAAAATTTGAGGAATTCAAAATAGTGTTCCACAATTCTGGTGGGGTCCAAAGCTTTAACAAAAGGCAAAACTTCCAAATACTAAATAAGGAATAGGAAACAAATTCCAATATAAATGCACACCTAAGTACTAAAATTAATTGGGCCAGCCCTAAAATTATCACAATACAGAGAATCAATGTTAAATAAGTGAATAATTAACTAAGTGGAAATTAGTGGGAATTTAGTGCATAAGGTAGTGCAACTGTAAATGCCTTCTGAAGACTGTCTCATATGTCGCTAGAGCTTGAACATTTTTTCTGGCTACCTGGGCTTTCTGGGCAACACATTCCTCATATTCATTACCATACACTGCTTTCAGCGTCTGCAGATTACCCATCAACATTTTGCATAATGTAAAAAGAATATGCTAATGTTTGTGAAAAAAATCTTCCTCTCGTCTCTATATAATTCTGTATAGAATATCTATATAAACTCTAAGAATGATGAAAAGCTATTAACACTATTGAGATGCCCACACTACACAGCCCAATAACTCAAGTCTCAGGCTACTAGCTCCTGAGTATACATAGTGGTTAGAAAAATACGCCCAGGGCCAACCCAGTCCTTACAACCAAACATCACAACATCATAGCAACCGGCACACTCAAGCTGTTAATTGTCAGAAAATGCCATGACCACAAAGTATTTGCGGAAGGTGGTAGATTGCCAGTATTTATGTAACGTGTCACAGGCACAGAGAACCTGCAGGAACATGCTGTTGAGATGTACATGGTAAAGCAGACCACGCCAAAAAGTTTTCACCCCACCTTTGTTCCGAAAAAGCACATAGTGCATTCTGTTCCCAGCCACCTGACTCAGCCACAGCTCCCAGTACATAGTGTCAGTAAAACAAGTCCAATCCCAGTCCAAGTTGAAGCCTAGGCAGAACCCCACTAGGCTTTAGTCCAGCAGGCTCAGGGCAGCAAAGAGCAGGCACAGTCGTCTCAGTAAAGAAACAAGAAAGCTTGACCCACTCCTGTCTGCTGAGGCTCTTTCAGGAGCCAGAAGTCTCCACTTTTGGTCTTTGATGTGGCTCAGAATTCAGAATTTCCAAGACAGCTCCTGGAAAGCTGACCCACCACGGTTGTGCGTCTACATGGTAACTGGCCCTGGTCAGAAGGAGACACATGCAAGAGTGTGTGTGTGTGGGGTGATATGTGGAGAGTTAAGCTCATACGGAGGTCTTGTTGGAAAGTGTGCTGGGGAGTCAGGGGGTAGTCATTTCACAGAGTAGTGGGGGTGGGCTTTTGCTTTTGGCAGATGTCTCTATTTGTACCGCATGCCAACCAAAGAGTAAGAGAGAGAGCGAGAGAGAGCGAGAGAGAGAGATAGATATGAAAAGCAAGACGATAGAATTTAATAGAAGGAGCAAGTAGCCAAATTATTAAGGCGTGTAATTCCAACTCTGTCATCTGATTCTCAACAGAGGAACTGAAGTTTTACTAGAACAGGATGTTCAATTATTCACACCACTCGAGACCTACAAGCTCCTACCATTTAGAAAAGAAAAACCTCTTGAGGATCCCAAATGGAAAATATTTGGTAAAGACCTGCAGGCTGAGTGGTGTTCTTTGACTCCTACAGGGCATGTTACCTTAATAAGCAAAAGCCTGAACATACCGGAGATCAAATTAGGAAGAACGATGTTGTATCAGACAGCATCAAAGACCAAAAGCCCAGATTTCAAAACACTGTTCTCATCAGCCACGCTCTTCAGTTCACCTTCACAGACAAAACCCGGGATACTTTTACTGGTGATGTTCGGACTTTGCGTCATTCACACGTGCAGAGATGCACACATTCATACATGCCATGAAAATCCTTGAAGTGACGTTCCCAGCGTTAACAGCCAGCAGCTCCTTCTGATGAATCATATGCCAAAAAAAACCACAACTATTTTTCTTTTGTAATCTCAACCATTAAACTCAACCGTTTAACCGTAAAAGAACAAATGTTCTGCTTTGCTGGATTATGTGTTATGTCAGTGCAACTTTTACATTTTTAGCTCATTTTAAAGCTTAATAGATTTCAAAGAAGAAATACTGAATTGGTATCAGCTGATATTTAAGGTTTCAATATCAGTATTGTACCTGGAACATAAGTGCTTTTGTGCTCACTCTAAAAGACACCTAAATGGTTCTTAGTTTGGACATAAGGTTCTAGGGTAAAAAATGGTATAGAACTTCATGCGGAGGATCTTTAAAAAGGTTCTTCACACTCTCACATCTCATACACAAAATAGGGTAATTTTAAAAAATCATCCACTGAAAGGTTCTTTATGGAACCAAAAGTCGGAAATGTTTGATTTCTGCTGTCACTCAACTTGTGCTATTTGTAGCCTTAGTTCAAGAAAGGCTAACAGGCCAGAGCTCCAAACACCACAGAACAGGTTTGATTTCTGTCACTCCGACACCAGTCACTCGACTTTCTTCTGCCAGACATGAGTTTTTATTATCTACACTTGTGTAAGTAATGCCCCAGTTAGTAAGAATCAATTCTGTACTGTGTCATGTGGTGTGCCTGAATCTAGCCTGCTAACGTTAGATTAGCGTCAGGAAATTGTTGTTAGATTGATGGTTTGGCATACATTAAATGATGGAATAAAAACTGCAGATAGCATTCATTTATTTGGCGAGCAACTGAACTGAACTTCAGTTTTGAAATAAAGCAGGAAGAGGTGGCGCAAAAGTGACGTGAACGCAGAACCTGCCAGCGCACAGCTACGTCATGACTTCCCACTGAACGTTTTTGCCGCTCTGAGCAGTTAGCTATCTGTGCCAAGGAAACCACGCTGAGGACTGTTTGCAAGCGCTCCATACCGATCCGTGTTACTTTCCACGCATGGAACCATTTGGCCCTACAGTGGAAAAGAGGCTTACAAAGATTAGACAGTACAATCTGTTTACCATTATTGTAAAGTTATGGTCCATGCACCATTCATTTCTCTGCAGAGAGGCCTCAGTTGGAAGCCTTTGGACTGATTCGGCACAGTTGTCCTGCATGGGGCATGTCGTGTGCCTGTGTGCAGTGAACGAGGGTGTTGTCTGCCGCACGTGTTCAGTATGTCTGTGTATGCAGTGTAGGAGAAAAGCCATGTGGGACAGCTGGGACAGGGAAGCGGGTAAGGCAGAGGGTCTAGTTGAATGGGGATATTGAGTGGGGGGTGGTGGGGGGGGGCAGTGTGATGACCCTGATCAGAGCCCCTCACACAGCTGCTGCGCTGAGCTCAGGACAGACCCGGGACAGCTGAAGCAGCACCTCTGCACAGACTTCTGATACAAACACCCTTACTGCAGTCTCTGAAGCAGCTCTTTTAACTGCCATATCATAAATCCCAGTAGAAGTGCTTTAAAGACTGGAGTCATCTACGGTATCCAGAATCAGTCGCCACTGTAGGTGGCTTGCATTCGTAAGGACAGTTTTTTCAATTTGTTTTGGGGGGGGATTCATTACTTGTGTGATGTCATAAAAAAGCAACACATTTACATATATCTTCCTCCTCAGCCTACAAAAGTGTAGCCCCACCCAATCCCACTTAAGTTATAGGTAATGGTTCAGCCTGACTGTTTTTTGACTGAGACAGCATAGGGCAGCCAATCAGAACAGAGATCATTTACATACATGAACATTTATGTATATTCAGTCTTAAAGACACAGCAACAAACACAGCCAGTTTAAGGGGAAAAATAATGGCTGGAAATGGTCATGAACACATGTATAATGACAAATGTAAGTGGTCCACAGGGTAAAAAATGCAAAAAAAAATGTAAGATATGGGCCCTTAAATAACTCAACATATCATTTTGGGAAGGTAACGTCCAGCCAGAGTGCACTTTTGCTGCCCTATGTCCTGGATAGAAAGTGGTTCTCTCTATCTATACCCATCCAAATCCAATATCTTAAAACCCAAACAAACGCCAAGGAAAAAAATGAAATGTGAAAGGGGTCAGTTGATGACTGTGTTCTAGCTAAACACATTTCTTTAGTCTTTTCTATTCTGACCTCCAACTAAAAAAGGAAAAGAAGGTTTCAGAACAAATATGATTCAAAACAAATGACATTTTATTGTGGTGTCTGATAAAAAAAAAAGAAATTAGAAACTGAAAATGGCAAGATAGTTTGGAAAAAACCTTAACCCCTTAAAATCCCAGGCTTGTCACATCCTAAGGCTAACTATAGGGAAAACAATACAAATGACAGGGCTGAGCTATTCTTAAGTTATAGTGGCGAGCAACAGACATGCCAACATGTTCT